AAGACCAAGGAGGGGGAGGAGGAGGATGGAGAGCTGGATTTGGCAACTAGGGTAACCAGTGTTCTTTTTTACTGTAAACTTTGCAGAATAATGGGAACAGAAATGAGTTAGTAGAAGGAAAAGAAAGGTAAAGAAATGAAATGCAGCTGAAGATCTTGTTCAGGGAACTCAACTGCTAAAAGAAGGTAAGAGCTAGTCCCTAGAAGATAGCGGTTGGCACAATGTGAGTACTTAATAAATACTCACTGACTGAACAAGCAAAGAAATGAACAGCCAAGTGTAGCCAAGTGAAGATCTATATGTTAAGAAAAATAGGGTATGAGAGAGAACTTTTTATGGGAGGAGGGGGTAAGGCAACATGTTCAAAGAAGAAGAGTTTAAAGATACCTTTAAGTGAATACATTTTTTTAATAAGGTGGAAAAGCAGGAAGAAAGGCTGAGAATACAAATAAAAGGCAGAGAAACTAGCAACCACCACCCCCTCCCACTCTGCCCCTAAAACAAAGAGAACGAACTGCAGGAAGTCAAAGCAGAAACCCTCCCCAGTTAGGGTGGACCAAGAACAGGGAAGAATGCTTCCATTCTTTTGTTATAATAGTCAACAATGATTTCAACAGTCTTTCCTTGAAGCCCAAAATGTAATCAAAGCTAAAGCTAAAATGGTAAAAATGGAAAAAGGAGTGAAAACACCTACAAAATGTTGAGGGCAAGTTCACTAAAGATAAATCATATGCCTATGGAAACTGGGCAATTTCAAATGTAAATTTCCCCAAGATATATTTTATAAATAAATAAACTACAGTCATATGCCCTTGGTGTCCCCAAGAAAATACTAAGTACCATATCAATAAATGACACTAGTAAGTAATAAACAAAGAGCCTGAGAGAGAAGATTTCTAAACATTTATAGATAAACAATGTATTAGAAGTGGTCTGAAAGTTAAGATAAATACCAACTATATAGCATATATTTCCACCATGACAAAATCTTACCAAGATGTTTCATTAGGCAGCATAATTTACAAGACTCTATAAAATGAGCTTTTTAAGAAACATAAGAGCATGAGCAACATTCCTCTGTAATAAAAATGTTCATTTTAACTCCTTCAATACAGATACTGAAAATGAATTAAGATCTTAAAATAATGGGAAAAATGAAAACACATGCAGTTAATGAACCAGTAAAAAATAAAAAATAAAAGCTATAGTATTTATTATAGTATTAAAAAATTGGTACTTTCCAAAAAATTAGAAGTACTTGGCAACAAATCCAATAAAGATATTTAATCTATGAACCACATTTAAAAAGACAAGTCTGATTAAAAAATTAGGGTGAATACTGTATTTCAGTGCTAATGAAAATTAAAATAAGTTCTGACAGATAAATTATTTTCTTTTAAAAAGAAGCATACAGCAATTCTAGTACAGCTATGATACGGCAGATACCCTAAAAAGTGGTTCTCATACACATAACATATATATAAATAACTACTAGAAATAACTGGTATACATAAAACACCAGTTGATAAAAAATTTTGAGGCAAAACTTATGTACACTTTACAGTCACACAAAAAATAACATTTTTATGTAACAGCTTTGACAGTGCTCAAAGATTAAATCGCATTTCCATATTAACTAAGCAAAGATCTAAAAAAAAAAAAAAAGAACTAACCAAAGCTAAGTATCATCTTGGAAAATGATAATTATAAGCATGATTTTCATGAAATGTTAGGGTGACAGGAGGGGAAGGCTCAGGGGAGAACTATCGGTAGTAAAAGTATTTCTCTTCTAGAAATAAATACCACCCAAGCATTTTTTACATCAAGGAAATTCTAATAAGATACCATATGAATAAGAAACACTAAATCATATGTAATCTATACGTCCCCTCATCTGAGTTAACAGTCATACTTAATAAGAACTAACTTCAAAAGATAAGAAAGAATTCCAATGTACAGCAACCTAAAGATATAGAAATTAATGTAGCAGGTGCCCCTGAGGGACCTGACTAGAAATTGGCACAAGGAAACTTTCTAGGGTGACAGAAATGCTCTATCTTCAGTGGGACACTGATGACACAGCACAGACATTAGACACACATATCTAGCCACTTATATCTAAAAATTGTTCTGTCATTACACCTCAGTTTTTAAAATTAATAAAATGGCAAGGTATAGAGTTGGATTATACAGAACATACCTCCTACCAGTCAGGAAATACGATATGCTTAAATCTGAGTAAGAAACAACCTCAACAGACAACTGATGTGATAGGTATACCTAACTCTTCACAACTCAAAATGCCTTAACATGTAATATCACTAAAAAGGAATTACTTTTCACAAATATTAGTAAAAAGCAATTCATTTACACTCAATAATATAACACAATGAATCACTTTATTTACTCAGTAGTGCATTTAGCCACTAATTCACCAGAGAAGGGTCACTAGAAAATTAAATTGCTCAATCAATATTAGAAAGATATTCAAGGCAGCAACACTTAGGGTTTTTACATAATGAACAAATGGACTAATACCTCTAATAGCTGACAAGTTAACATTATTGTTTAAAATGTGCCAGGTACTGTTCTAAATGCTTTACCCATATTAATTAATTCGATCCTCACAGCAACCTACAGAAGGAGGCACTACTACCACCCCCAAGTGAAGAAACAGGCCCATGAAGTTACGTGTCCACCTGTAACCACCCTGATCTGTCTAACTCCGGTGTCCTGGGTTTCGGAAAATTTTTCTTAATCACTTTGTTCTACTGCCTCTCTGTAATCAGTTGCCTTGAAATTTTCTAGGCTAAAATAAAGGTTGTGCTCTATGGTATAGAACCCTGGAGACTTCACCACTTACCTCCTCATTTATATTGCACAGAAGTCCCAGAATAATTTTTAAGGAACAATTTTGGCTTTACTTACAAAGAATACTAGATGGTACACATGTCTGTGTGATTAGGCTTCTTTATTCTTTCTCTTTTTTTTAAAGTAAAACTTTGTCTACTCATGCGATTTTTTTTAAAGTGAGTGCATCCTAACTGAATTTCTCATCAAAGGACACCTGCAAGAGGAGCTCTGTAGTATATGGAGCCATAGACACCATTCTCTGGTGACGAGTATCAATTAAAAGTCTTATATTCCAACATAATAACTCTTATTTCAGGAAGTTGAAAGTTGAAGCCATACATGCAGTTTTCAAATAATTTCAAATACTATATATCACTTAATAATTGTTTTTCAAAATCCTGACATTTAAAAAAATACAGTAGTATCTTGTAGTATACCTGTAACCTATTCCATGAAAAACCAGTGAACTATAGCCCTCTGACTGGAAAGTTCTGCTCTAAGCTATAGGAAAAGAATGGCTGTCCAACTCAAATAATCTGCTATTCAACTCCTTCCAACAGCCTAGTTGAGAAAAAGAGTATTTCTGGAGAACTGAATTGTCCATGGACTTCATGTTTTGTCCTTAGTTTAGAATACACCATTCATAAGACAATACACTTTGAGTTTTGAATGTGTTGGACCTCCATTACAAACACCAAGTTATGTACACTGTCAAGCTACACATCACATTTTTCTTTATGTTTGTGTGTATATTTATTTTTAATCCTCACCCAAGGTTATGTTTATTGATTTGAGAGAGAAACATCAATCAGTTGGCTCTTGCACACACCTAACCAGGGACTGAACGCACAACTTAGGTGCGTGCTCTGACCGGGAACTGAACCCGCAGCACTTTGGTGTATGGGACAACACTGCAAACAACTGACCACCTGGCCAAGGCTACACTTCACATGGTCTTAAAGGCAACTTTAAGATTTAAACGATTACCACAGTTACTACAGAAATGTTATTAAAAACATTAACTTCTATGAAATGTTCAAAGCTCTATTTCCTTGATATAACAAAGTTTCTCCACAAGGATCTTGGAAATACATAAAGTATCATATTTTCTTTTTTGCCCTAGCCAGCAAAAAGCTTAAAAATTTATTTAAAACTGAACTAAATTATACTTTCCTTTATAGCCTACAGATCTCTATTCTTTTTTTTCCTTTGAGTATTTTTAAGGTTTAATTTTTTTAATATTTAAATCCTCGCTACATCTAGAATTTACTTCGGTATAAATAACTGTCTTCAGCATAGAAGTTTTACTTTCTTTAACAAAACCAATATATCTTTTTAAAGCATTCTATTCATTCTACCCTTACCTCATCCCACTCATGCCAATTTTTGTGTTATTTGTTTTTCTGATTGTGAGGTCTGTGTTTCACTAAGGTTCAACTACATATATCTGTGTATTTAGCCTTCATACTAACTTAAAGTACTTTGAAAAGGGCATTAGAAAAAATAGTGCAATTTCACTGTGAATTATAAAGTAAAACTGGCAGAAATAGTCATTTTCACATCACCAGCCGACCTTAAGAATTAAAAGTATGATTTGAGAATTTAAAACTGTCATGTTAGAAAAATGGCAAAACTTTAAAATTACAAATTTGTCTCTAACAAAGCTAAAACGGTCGAAACAAGTCCAAATCAATAATTAGAACATTTGCTAAAGGGGCTGTCCTCCAACGTTAGGCCCTGTCTGAAAATCAAGAACACCTCTCTAGAGAAGGGAAGTCCTCAGTTCTTATGCTAGATGCTATTTTATTATTTATCTTTACCCAGGCTCCCTCTACTGACAGGAAAGCAAAACAGATGATAAAATTATATGGGCAAATTTCATCAACAAAGGAAAAGAAATTCATTTTCTAAATACTCCCAAATCAACATTTTAGATAAAAGTAGATTATAAACTGACTTTACTACAGACTCAAGAAGAAAAAAACATTGTCAACTGACAATTCAAATAACACTCAAATTTTATGTGTGCCACGTAACATTTCAACACACTACTTTTCAATACTGATGCTTATTAGATGCAAGGAAGATTAAAATTTGAAAATTCTCTTTAAATAGTTTTAATAATTCATCAGTAAGAAAATGTTTACCTGTATCTGTTCTGGTGTCCATTGGTCTAGGTTAACTGACTTGACCCTGGATATATGAACCCCAAGATTTCTATGGATTCCAGCACATCTGATGCAAATAAACACACCAATATTCCAGGAAGCCCATCGGGGACCTAATTAGGGAAAAGAAATGAAAAAAAAAGCAAATATTAAAAACTAAAATAATTAACATGATAGCACATATACACCATTCTGGTTTTTTATGCAATTATAATAAAGGCTCACAAATTTTATGTGCTTAAATTTTCAAATGGCACCAGCAGATGATTGCTCAGAAGGCATGTGTCCTGGCTGTACTGAAAGGTTATACATCAACCTCAAGAACCTTCATAAGTTTACTAATTTTGGTTTCCTAGAAACTTACTCTGAAATCTAAAATTTTTAAACTAATTTATGAGTTTTTTCACTCCGTGTATTTGAACCAGAAATAGTAATATCCCGCAGTAAAAAGTTCTTTGCTTAAAAATTAGTAACAAAAATCAAAGAGATTTTTAAAACTAAACCTCAGAAATTAGTAAGAAATAGACAACCAATCTAATAAAAAATTAGCACAAAGATATGAATGGGTAATTTACAGAAGAACTATATGGGCAATTAATATATTAAAACATGTATAACCTCACTGGTAATAAGAAAAAATGTCTTTTAAAACTATTACAATTCCCACTTTGCATTCAACATATTAGAAAAAATTTTTAATTGGCTAATATTAAGTGTTGACAAGCATGAGAAACAAGGACTGCCTCCAGAAGCCTTATATCAGATTAATCTCCAATATAATCTGAGATTAAGAAATTTAATAAATGAACTAAGATGTGGTACAAAATGTTTATTCTTTGGGACATGGTCAAAAACCTCCAAAAGACACTGTAGAGAACTGACAATAAGTATATAATAATACAAGCCTTAGCTGTACTACTCATCATGCCTTCTGATGTTTTTTATTGATAATTTTAAATGTTCTTATGATTATTTTCACATATTTCTTATACACTTAAAGTAAAAAATAAAAAAAATCTGAAAATCATGTTAAATAAAGGCTTATCCTACCAGATCTGTATGAATCACTTGATTGTAAAAATATATTCAGTAAGAGGTATCAATAAAAAAATCAACTTCTTCAAAAAGTTTAGGCTTCTGTTTTATGCACTTACTTTTTATCTAAAAATTGGAGTCAGTCTACAAAGTAATACTGAAGCTAGTAATTACAATGCGGTAACACTAAATATATCCTCCCAAATTCCTTAGGAGATAGGTTATGCATACATAATTTGTGCCAAAATATCCTGCTGTTAAATTTAGAATGACATCTATAAAGTGACAAACATCTGGCACATGCTCTATTTAAATATTTGTTTCATAGCTAACTGTCAAAATCAATTTGAGGCTAAAAGACTCTGTACTGTCAACCTACTCTACTATCATTGAGCTGCATAAATTACACTGGACAAAACCATAGAGCAACAAGGTTCTCACCTGTCAAACTGACTTAAGATTGGCTGCCCAAACTTAAGACTCATATGAAATAATGCTGAAAGTTTTAAAGCGCTGCTTAAGTACAAGTTACTGTCATCTTAAGAAATTTTGAAAACCAAAATACAATACTTTTTCTTCTGCAGAGAAGTTTCTACGTAAGTTTGCAAAACAAGTATATCTTAACTTTTCTCAAAAACAATTCCCAAAAAGGCAGTGAGTAAAGAGCATGACGAGAAAACAAAAGACTTTTCAAGGCATTCCAAGTGCAGCTTTATTGTTCTTCTTAAAATAGAATGATCCCTGCAGAACATCTGCTAAGCACCATAGCCAAATACAAATCGAGACTTTTCTTTATAGCAGTTTTCCTGATGTAGCAAATGTTATAACTGAATGAATAAATTAAGTAGGAAGCATAATTTGCATAATGTAATAAAGACTGTCACTGCAGGTAAAAAGCTCAGTACCCAATACAGTAGTACATTTTTACAATAACCAAACGTAATACAGGGATTAAAATATATAAAAGCATGTATGACAATAATGCTAGCGGAAATAGAAAAAATGGTTATATTACTATTCAGTAAAAGCTAAAAACTAGATATAATTCAATGTTAGATGATGGTTCAGTTTTAAACAAGTTAAGGCCATAAAAAACCATTTCATTAATTCCTAAAAAAAAAAAAATTTTGCGATCACTTATTGAAAACTTTAACACTAATCACTTTGACCAAATGAAATAATAATGTAATTTTGTCAACGCATCTTTCTCTCAAATATAACTGTTATATCTTAACAATATACTTAGGAACCCTCAATAATAACTGAAATTATATATGTATTGTCTACTCTAAAAAATTAACCTTGTAAACTGACCTAAAATTGCCTTGATAATAGCTGCTCAACATGGCAGTTGTTCAATTATTGGCATGAAATCCTCCTTTTCATTCACCCAACCATTCAGTGAGTACTTACCAACTTTGTGACAAGTAAATGCTGTTAAAAGACCATAAACACAAAGTTTCCAACTCAGGAGACCAAGCCAAGAACAAATCGCAATTTAAAAAACAATTTGGTGAAATCTAGTCAAGTTCTAGATGAATGAACCCTTCCACCAACCAATCTATATTCTCATTTTCTCTCACTCTCTCACACACACACACACACACACACACACACACAGTACTTTAAACTGTAGGTCACACAATGTATTGATTTAATCTCCACTAGTATTTATTTTTAGAAGAGAAAGATATAAGTGCACCACATGAAGGGTAAATATAATTTTGTTAAATTTTTACAAAAAATCAGTAGCATATATGTGTACAGTCACAAATACACACAAAATCAAGTAATGCTGTAAAATGTTTCCCTGTGTCATAGTCAAATAATGCTGAAAAACACTACAAAAAAACTCACATATGTATGCAAGAAGCCATTATATGAGTATTTACAGCACCATGGTTTCTAAAAATGATAGAAAACAAATGTTCACCAGTATGATTATTTCACCATTCAATGAAATATTACACAACAGTGAAAAGACATCAGGCACACATAACTCCACCAGTGAACCTTAAATATGACATGAAATAATCAATGTTAGCACAAGGTGATATATATATAAAGGGCAATGAGGACCCCAATTAAGGAGACAAAGTCTGTTGGAAAGCACACAGGTCTCACAGAGGAGGCAAAGCCTGAACTGAAATTTAAAGACTGACTAGTAGTCAGTAGGCACAGACTATGTCAAGACACATTCTTGGCAAAGGTTAAAGAAGGTGCGGTATGGCAGGGGACTTTGGTACGGCTGAAGAGTAAAATATGCAACGGTGTCCAACCTGTGGCCCGCGGGCCATATGTGGCTCAGGATGGCTATGAATATGGCCCAACACAAAAATCTTAAATTTACTTAAAACATTTTGAGACCTTTTTGTGATTATGTGTACAATGTATTTAATGTGTGGCCCAAGACACACATTATCATCAGGAGATGATAAAGAGAATGCCATATAATAAAAGGCTTCATATGGCAGGCTAACTGGTTTACCCTGGCTCCCGTGGAGAAGGTGCCTAATACCTCTTCTAAGTTCATCATGGCTCTCCCACTCACGAACTACGATTACACACGCCCTTCTTGCCTTCATGCCTTTCCATCTGTTGCTCTCTCTGTCCCAAATATGTTTCTTTCTTAGGTCTTTGCATGCCTAGCTCACTCCATCCCATGGGCCTCAGTTCACATGCTGCCTGCTCACGCAGGGCTTCACCATGGCTACTAGCTAGAGTTGCCTCCCCCCTTACTCTCCATCATTTATAACACACACAACAATCTATTTCAAAGTTCACAATGAAATCTATGGGGATATTATGAAAACGCAGATTCTAATTCTATAACCCCAATTCTGCATTCCTAAAAAGCTACCAGTATGTGCCCTGCTGCCATCAAAGACCACATTTTGAACAGCAAAATTCTAGATTATTCCTGACAAGGTCTTCAACTTACACTTTCAGCACATTCCCTGAACTGCTTTCATTATTCTTAATGAATATGTGCTTTAAACTGTAAATTTGTTAAAATGTACTAGGAATTGTATCTGCTGAGGGGAAAAATCAAAGTGTATTTAGAATTCAAATATTGGCGGTTTTGAGTTATCCATATCACTACCTCATTTAAAACAAAAAAAAGCTAGGGTCAACTAAACTAATATTAATAATCTCACAACCACAATCACAACAAAACTACAGTAACAGAAGAGAAGATGTGCTCACTAATGTTAGCACTTTGACTCATATCCATTATCAGTGAACACTTAGGGAATACTAACAATACAAACACACCAGGTTAAAGAACTGATAAATGTGGCTACAGTGAGAATGGAAATGAACAAATGTGAGAATCACCAGGAAGAACTGACAGGACTTAGAGATCGGGAAACACAGTGATAAGAGAGAAGGCAGAGAACAAGATGGCTGGAACTTCTGCTTTAAATCTGGGATTTAAAGCATAAAGGTACTTGTAGTGTCAGAAAACTTTGCAGGAAATCTGTTGAATGCTTTACACATCAGGATGAAAATGTCCATCAAGCAATTAGCAATACAGGGCTAAATTTCAAACTGAAGATATATACATGAGCACGGTCTTCAAGAGAAAAGTTACAGCCCCAAGAAGAGAGGAAAAAAAAAAGCAGAATACTAAGTCTTACGGAGAAAATGAAAAGCAGCACAAAATCACAGACAGCAAGAGTTCTAAGATAGTCAATAGTGTCAAAAATTTCAGAGAAGTCAAGAAGAATAAGGCTAGAACAGAACAGAACATCTGGATGAGTGAACAGAGAGGTCACTGATAACCTCACAAAGATTAGGCAGGGAGAGAGAGAGGGAGTTCATCCATTCTTAATTCCATTACCAAATGAAAACCCTTTACCAGATCAGTCTCCAACTTCAAACTTTTAACACAGCTTTTTATTTTCCTCTACTTTGCTTTCATGACCACCTGTAATTTTGATCCTTCTTAAATCAGTTTTATTTTGCCCTACTCCAACTTACATACTCAGGAAGCCAATGAGAACAGAATCATTGCTTTTCCTTGAATACCACTCAACTATCTTATCCTGAAACTTTCCTGCACACCATTTCCCTT